AAGCAGCTTAGTATCTACTGACTAAATAAGTACATGTGCATTAAAAACAGACAAAAATGATGATTAAAACTTAAGAGTGTTAGATGCTAAGTCCCAAGTAAGGCTCATATATTACAGAAGACCCAACGAAGACACTTAGGGTTGGAATGAAGTCGTATGTTAACTGAGTTTGAGGGACAGTCTGATATAGTGAGAAAAACACAAGGCAATGAATTAGAAGTTTCACCTCTATAATTTACTAAGAATTACAACCTATGGATTAGGCTATTGGAACTTTGTTTTTCTCATCCATAAATTAAGAACGATGATTCTAATACCTTCTCTGTCTAGTTCTTTGGTCTTTGATCACACAATCAAATAAAAAATTTCAACTTCTGAAAACATTAAAGAATGATTCAAATCTAAGGATGTGTTGTTTTAATTTTTCATCACATAGCACAGTGTTTATTATAAAAAATCAGTAATTTAAGAAATGTTAAGAACTGTTCAATAGGAAAAGCAATGCTGGTATGTATGTATGTTTGTTATTTAAGAAGTAATAACAGAACTGTGATATAAACTGGATTTTTTGTTTGGAAATAATTCATAATGTGCTAGACTGCAAGGTCTGTTTGAACTGCAAGGTCAGTGGGGTCAAGCTTATAGCTGCTCCTTGGAAACACTATACAGGGTCACTATGGGATGGGACCAACTTGATGGCATATAACAATAACAACAACAGCAACAACATACCTAGTATAGTGCTGTAGAATAAGCACAGTACTGCTAATCACAAGGTCGGTTGTTGAAACCCACCAGCTGCTCCTTGGAAACCTTACACAGGGTTGCTATTAGGAATGGACTCGATGGCACTTAACAATAACAACAAGATACCTATAACTGGAAGCCTGGTATGATGCTGTGAGATAAGCAGTGAACTCCTAACCATAAGGTTGGCAGTTCAAACTCACCAGCCATTCCTTGGGAACTCTATACAAGGTTGCTATGAGTTGCAACTAACTTGAAGACACTTAACAACATCCCTACAGCTATTTGCTACTCTTGTTAGGTAGCTTCCTGTTGGCTCCAGGTCAAAATGATGCCCAGTAGAATGAAACACTACCCCGTGCTGCACAGTCCTCACTATTGTGCTGTTTGAGCTCACTGCTGCAGACACCATGTCCATGCAGCGCAGTGGGGATCTTGTATGCCAAATATGAGGACTTGAGAACTTGGTTCTGGGGGGTAATAGGCATTATTGAAGGTGTCAGATACGGACATATATGCCTTCCTGGAATAAAGTACTAAGTACATATTCAGTGGGTAAATGAATAAATGAGAAGTGCATTAAAAAAAAAAAAAAATTGGCAGGGAAACCTGTATCTGAGTTCGGGAAAAGATGGCTGAGCCAGAACCAGTGACACACAGAAACAGCCTGGTACTAGTCAGTTTACTAGCACACCCCTGAGCCAGAGCAATAGCACTTGGGATGGAAAAGCTAATACATACGAGAAGGGTTAAGGAATCAAATCCTCACCAGTTGTTTGATAGAGGAGTATCAGTGGGAAGAGTCTAAGATAATAGATCAACAGTTGGCTTGGATGATTCAATGGTACACTGGTGCCTCATACAGAGAGAAGTTCAAGAGAGGGATGACAGTCATTTCTGTTCAGTGCATGTTGAAATTGAAGTGCAGCACTGTAGGATAAGCACTGGATTGCTAACTACAAGGTTGATGGTTCAAACCACCAGCCACTTCTTGGAAACCCTGTACAGGGTTACTATGAGTCAGAACTGACTCAATAGTACTTATGTTAACTTACGGGATGTGATGGTAAATGTGTCCAGCAGATGGTTGCTTGTGCAAATATGGAACTAAAAGAAGGTCTCCCTTCGATATGCAAAATAGGAAGCATGAGGAATTAACAGGAAGTTGAAATCATGGTGCTAAATGAGGCTTTCAAAATAAAGCAAAGGGAGAGACCCCTGGGAAAGGTTGTAAGTCTTCCTATTTTATAAAGCAAATATTAGTGAAACCATATGCTTATTGATTAAAAACTGTTTGAGTTTGTAGGCATTATGTTCTTCTTGTGAGTACCATATTTAGCATTAAAGGATCATTAATGTACATGAGTTTTAAGGAAGGTTAGTGTCTGATTAACACATGTTCTTGATAAGACTTCTAAAACTTAAAAAAAAAAATCACAATGATAAGCACAAAAAGGACATTTTTTAAATGTTCAAAATAAGTTAAAACTGTCCAGCATCCAAAAGAACCAAAAGCATTCTAGAAAAATAAAGGACATTATTTTAGAAATCAGTTAAATTATAACTAATTCTACTCCAAACTTCTTTCAGCCTTGACACTGTATTGTAATAGTTTACTTCTTTGCCTCTGCCACTAGATTTGAGGGAGAGCAAGGTGTCTTTTATCTCGGTTTGGGGTCTCATACACAGTACGTATAAAACCCACCGGCAATGTATCCATTCCAATTCATAAAGACCCTATAGGACAAAGCAGAGCTGCCCCATAGTGTTTCCAAGGTTGTAAATATTTAAGGAAGCAGACTGTCACATCTTTCTCCTCTAGAGCAGCTTAGATTTAAGCCACACACCTTTGGTTAGCAGCCTAGCACTTTACTCACTGCCCCACCAGGGATCCTACATAGTAGATACTCAAAAACTAGCCCTGTTTTTTGTTTTTTTTTTTCCATAACAGGATGTGAGGTTTGAACAGATACCCTACATGTTCCCTTTCAACCCTGAGAGTCTCTGAAAAGGGAAGTGGTATAATTATGTGGGTACCACTAAAAAGAAGTGGGCTTAGTTCTTTGTGGTTCTAAAAGGCCAATATTTGAAGGCTACAGAAAGGCAGTAGACTCTCAGCTGAATATTATACTGGTGAGAATTTTGTAATAATGACAGCTATGCAAAAGAGGAATGAGGTCTCAGAAATAACTGCAATTTAAAAGCTCTAGGGGACCTTGGATATCTTTAGTTTACGTATTCATCTTTTCACCCCATGGTCTATCTAGCAAACGCTATTCATATACAGGACGCTGGGGTGAAGTGGGGATTTCATGACTAAGATGAGATTTGAAGAGGTATATGGGATCAGTCATAGATTGTATTGTGAGCCACCAGAAGATGTATCAAACTGGCTGGGCCATGATTTTCAGTGAGTTGCCATTTAGGTAACATGTAATCATTTTCACTGCTGTGATTTAATGTGCTCAGCCAATCAGATGTAAGGGAAATAGGATGGCATGCAATACCTTAATGAGGTCACAACCCTGATCCAGTGTAAGGGAAGTTTCCCTGGAGTGTGGCCCCCATCACCTTTGACCCTGTAACAGATAAAAAGAGAGAGAAGGGAGCAAAGAAAGAGGGACCCACTAACATGAAGATGAACCAGGAGGGTAGCAAGTCCTTTGGACATGGGTCCTTGTGCTGACAACCTCCTAGACCAAAATTAATGCGAAGACATACAGAGATCTGCAAGAAATGCTTGGCCCCAGATGCTGAGAGACAAGGATCATCCCCCAAAGCCAACAAGACAGAAAACCTTCCCCTAAAACTGTCACCCTGAATTCTGACTTCTAGCTTCCTAAATGTATGAAAATACGTGTTTGTTAAAGCCACTCGTGATATTTATTAGGAAAGTACTAGATAACTAAGATAGGTTCCTAACTGCATGATGAGCACTGTGGCTCTGTAGGATAAGCACTGAGCCATAAGGTTGGTTTGAATCGCAAGGTCGGAGGTTCAAACTCTCCAGCCGTGCCTCAGAAACTTTATACAGAATCACTATGAGTCGGAACCACCTCCTTGGCACTTAACAACAACATGATGAGCAGTGGACTGCAAACAACAGTGTCCTCATCTGAGTCCATTAGCCACTCTGAGGGGGAAAAATGAGGCTTTCTGCTCCCACAAAAATAATTTTCCAAGTTTTTTTTCCCAATGAAAATAAATGTGTATCAACATCTTAAGGTGTACCTGCCATGCGTTCTTAGAGCTTTGGTCCATGGTTCTTAGAGCTAGTCCATCACCCTCATTTGAAGAGGGAGAAACAATTTCAGGAAGCAGATGCCCCACTTCAGGGTAAAGAGAATAATTTCAGCGCTAGGAGTCGAACTTGTGTCTCCACACAACTAGTAAAGACTCATCCCCTCCATTCAATAGGGCTGGATGTCAAACTTCAATATGTCAAGGATATTGGCAGTGAATAGGATGACGTTTAAATTAAATTTGTTTTAAATGTGGATTACCTGCCTTACAACATTTTATAATTGAAGAACTTGTTAGAAAAAGGCAAATTCATGGGTCCCACACAGACTAACTGAATCATGCCCACTGGTAAAACCTGGGCAACTGCGACACTCCCCGTTCCCAGCATAAGCTCCCCTACCCATGCTCCAAGTTCTTGGCCTATCTTTGAAAACAATAATAGCTCCAGTCCCGACTTGAACTGAGACCATCCGCAGGCGCACAGTGCCCGCCAACTTGGCCACAGGGCAACGTCGACTGAACAGATATCCTATGTCCTCGTTGTTTAAAACTGTCTGTTACGTATTAGCCCTTCGGGCAATCACCGCCAGACGCCAGCCAGTACTCGGTCCGCGTGAGACGGCCGCTTTCCCTCCAGCAGTCATCGGGCCCTGGCAAGAGCACACGGCTGGAGACAGGGGCAAGGGCGGCTCTGCAGCGCCATCTGGAGGCCAGGGCTCACGGAAGGCAAATCGTTCTTTCCCATCGCTGTCCGAGAGTTCCTTTTCGCAGTCCCGCCCACCGGGGGGGAGTCTCTACGGCGCCTGCGCCTATTCTCCTTCGCGGCTTTGTCCTGCCCCCGTTCTGCCAACCGGATGTGAACTAGCTTCCCATAGTGCCTCGCGAGTGGCGGGCATGATAACAAACTTGGGAGATACGCTCGCGGGCACGAGTTGTCATTGTTTGGGTTGTTCCTGCGTGCCAAAAGACAGCGAGATTGGAGCCAGGTTACTGCATTATCCGCAAGGGCGATGGCGCTTTTCCGGGGTGTTTGGGGCGTTCTGAGTGCGCTGGGCAAGTCCGGAGCGGAGCTGTGCGCGGGTTGTGGAAGTCGACTGCGCTTTCCCCTCAGGTAGGACGGTCTCCTCCGCTCAGGAGGTGGCAGGACCGAGGACGCCCCGGAGCTGCAGTGTAGACACTTCCCCCCACTCTGTGCCCTTCCTAAGGCGCTTAGGACCACCCTGACCCTTTAATTCAGACCACGACCTTGATAGGGACTTGGCAGTTCGGAAAGCAGGCCTTCCTCCAGTAGACCCCGTGTCTTGCTTCCTGCCCTCTCCCCACGCGCACCTGTTCGGTCTCCCTGCGAAGTCGCTCCTAGGGCGCCCCGCCACCCTCGGGGTGTAGAGGAGGCGGGCGCTCTCGGTGTTTTTCTGGGAGGTGGCGGTGGTTTAGTGCCTTCGGGTCGATTCCGAACGGCTGGGGAATTTGAACCCCCTAACTTGCTGTCCGGTGCATTAGCCCACAGCACCTCCTTCCTGGGAGGCAAGTGCTTTGAACTCAGTTTTGTAGGACTTTAAATTCCCCTAACTTTCTTATCGAGGATGTTAAATGCACAGCATTTTGAGTCTCCTGCAAATTCACCTGACGTGAAAGTATTTCCTTTTTGTCTGTGTAGGTTTGTGTATATACCGAGATGGTTTTCATCCACCTTGGGCAGTTATCCAAAGAAGCCTTTGAGTTCATACCTTCGATTTTCTACAGAACAGCTACCCAAATATAAAGCTCAGAACCCAGGTAAGTGAGCTGAGGTATTGTTACTCAGCTCTGACATGCCTTGGAGATCCTGCAGGTTTGAGTCCCGACCACCGCAATAAAACGAATATTGCAACAGTAGTCCCGTGAAATTTTTGGTTTCCCAGTGAATATAAAACGTTATGCTTTTTCTGTACTGTAGCCTCTTTAAGGGAGTCCTGGTGTGGCACTGTGGGTTAATGCGCCATACTGCAAAGGCGCTTGAACTGCAAGGTCGGCGTTTCAATCTCACCAGCTGCTCCTTGGAAACCCTATGCAGGGTGGCTATGGGTGGGAATCGACACAACAACAATAGCCTCTTTAAATGTGAAATAGCATTGTGAGAAAGTTTGAAATGTTGTCAGTTACCAAAAGAAGACACAGACACAAGTGAGCACGTGCTGTTGGAACAATGGACTGGCTCCATCTGCTGAGAGTAATAGAGCACAATAAAATGAGTTAGGTGGGGTGAATAATAACGGTGCTAAGCACTTAAACTGCAAACCTGATTTGCATCTAACAGAAACAAAACCACATCATTTAATCATTATTTGTTTTATGGTCTGTAAAATAGGAAATCTATAACACATTGTATACCAAATAGAAATGCTTTTAAGTAGTAATGAGAACTAATAACGTTTAATTTAAGTAGCATGTAGAGGAGAAAGTATTCTGTGAAGAGAATGAAGACATGAGTTTGGGGCCCATTTATATTGACCTAGAGAACCAATATTGCACTGTTTATTAATTACTTAGCTTTTCAGCTGTTCTATGGAGTTACTCATAATGTTACGTGAAATAACTTAGGACAAAGTTTTGAAAACTGTAGAGCACTGCAGATTGCTGTTAATTTGAAGAACTTTTCCATGGAGAATTAAATTTTTGTCCTGAGTTTCTTAAAGAAGACGTCCCGATAGGGTGGTGTTAGTAAGTGCTGGTGGTCAGTTCCGTCTCATAGCGACCCTGTATAGAGTTTGAACCGCTGACCTTATGGTTAGCAGACCAAGACTCCAGGTGTTTGTTAAATCTATAGAAAGGCTGTGGGGCTTCATTTTGGAACATAGTGTAAAGATAATAACTAAATAGCACTAACCTTTGTCATTGTAAAGTCCTTTGACACACAGTTGTTTCTCAAAGTGAAAGGAATCATAATAAAAATGCTCACATTATAGATAAAGAATTCACTCAAGAGTCTTGCTTAATTTGTCATGACTTGTAAAATGTAAGAATTGGAGCTAACAACTGTTTTTTTAACTTAGTTGTTGTTCTTAAGTGCTATGAGTTGCTTCCAACCCATAACAACCCTGTTTAGGGTTTCCATGGAATGGCTGGGGAGTTCGAATCACTGCCCTTGTGGTTCAAACCAACTTTGCATTCCAGCGCATTAACCCATAGCACCACACCAGGATTCCTTTTACTCAGTTGTTGTTAAGTGCCATCGAGTCGGTTCCGACCCATAGTGACCCTGTATAAGGTTTCCAAGGAGCAACTGGTGATCTTGAACCACCAACCTTGTAGTTCAGACGGCTTTGCAGTCTGGCGCATTAACTCACAGCGCCACACCAGGACTCCCCCTTAGGCTCCACCATTCTAGTAAGACTTGAGGAAGGGTTTGTTGTTGTTGTTAGGTGCCATCGAGTCGGTACCGATTCATAGCGATCTTATATACAGCAGAACGAAACACTGCCCGAACCTGGGCTGGGTAGGGAGGGAAAATAAATGGGTTTATTTGAGAGTAATCTCGTATGTTATCAAATGGTGTTTAATAATTAAAATACAAGGTTGTATTACATGAATCAAGACTATATAAAGGAGCTCTGGTAGTGTAGTTGTTATGAATCGGGCTGCTAATTTCAGAGTCGGCAGTTCAAAACTACCACTGTTCCCCAGGAGAAATATGAGGCTTTATGCCCCAGTAAAGATTGACAGCCTCGGAAACCCTGCACAGGGAATGGGAACCAACTCCACGGCATGTAACAACAGTATTTATTATCTAGTTATGTATTATCCACTTAATACTTCCTGAAAGACTTTTTAAAATGTTTTCTTAAACTTACAAATATAAGTCAGTAACTTAAACAAGTGATTACTCAACTACTTATAATCAGTTTCAGAGGACTTTTTGGTGTTATGATGTATTTCTCAATTATTGCAAAATTGACTTAAAAGAATGTTGCTACTTCATGTTTAAATTAATTGGATAATGAAAATGTCAATGATACGTGTGCTGTAGAATAAACGCTGTACTGCTGCACGTACCAACAGGAGATTGTGTGTGGTATAGAAATGTCTGCAATAGAACTTGGCTTTACGGTTAGTGGATTGTTTCCTGGGAAGTTTTTAAAAGTTAGTCCTGAGACAGATAAAATTGTGACTTTTTTTAACCCCATTTTACCATTTTACTCTAATCCATAGATGCGAAAAATTCAGAACTAATTAAAAAAATCGCCCAGCAATGGAGGGAGCTTCCTGATTCAGAGAAAAAAGTAAGCACAAAAATTTTCATGTTATTTTTGTTGTTATTGTTGAGATATAGTAACACCTACCTATTCAACTGTTTCTACACATAGAATTCAATGACATTGGTTACATTCTTTGCTCTGTGCAACCGTCTTCATCTTTTTCTGAGTTGTTCCCCACTAACATAAGCTCACTGCCTACTGTATTCTTGACAGTATGTCCAGAATGTGAGAGACAAAGTCTTGCCTTGCTTCTAAGGAGCATTCTGGCTGCACTTCCAAGACAGATTTGTTCTTGCAGTCCATGGTACTTTGAGTATTCTCTAACACTATGATTCTTCTACGGTCTTCTTTATTCATTGTCCAACTTTCACATAGGAAGTAATTGAAAATGGTCAGTCCCACCTTAGTCCTCAAAGTGACTTCTTTGCTCTTTAACACTTTAAGAGGTCTTTTGCAGTAGATTTGTCTGTTGAAATGTGTCTTGATTTCTTGACTCCTAATTCCATGAGCATTGATGGTGAGTCTTAGCAAAAGGAAATGTTTTACAACATCAGTCTTTTCTCTTTTAATCATGATGTCATTCGTCTAGTTGTGAAGACTTCCGTTTTATATACGTTGAAGTGCCATCTGTTCTTAAGGCTGTAGTCTTTGATCTTCAACAGTAAGTATTTGAAGTTCTCTTTATTTCCAGTAAACAAGGTTGGGTCATCTGCCTATCCCAGGTTGTTTGTTAGGAAATCTTCCTCCAATCCTGATGCCAGATTCTTCGTATAATATAACTTCTTTACTCAGTGTACAGATGAGTTTGGTGAAAGGATACAACTCTGGTACATTTAAACCATTCACTGTCCCCTTGTTGTTTGCAGTGCCTCTTGGTCTTTGTACAGGTTCCTCATGAACACAGTTAAATATTCTGAATTTGCATACTTTGTAGTACTTTCTCCATAGTTAGTTATATCCACATAGTTAAATGCCTTTGTATAGTCACTAAAGCACAAGTATACATCTTGTGGAGGCTTGGTGTGGTGCTGTAATGTAAGCACTGACTGTTAACCCCAAGGTTGGAGAGTCAGAACTACCAGCTGTTTCTCAGAAAGCCTACACAAAATTGTTTTGACTTGTAACCTATTCGATGGTGCCTAACAGTATCATACAGCTTGTATTCTCTGCTTTGAGCCAAGATCCATCTGATGTCAGCAATGATTACCTTTGTTGCATATTGTCTTCTGAATCTGGCTGGAGTTTCTGAGAGCTCTGTGTTGATCTATCGCTGCCACCATTTCGTATTATGTTGTTGTTAAGTGCTGTTGAGTCATTTCCACTCGTAGTGACCCTATAAAGGTTTCTGAGGAGTGGCTGGTGAGTTTGAGTGGCCAACCTTGCAGTTCAAACTGATGTTACAGTTCAGCACATTAACCTGCAGCTCCACATTCAGTATAAATTTACTTGCATGTGATATTAACAATGTTATTTGATGATTTCCACATTTTGTTGAATCACCTTTCTTTGGCATGGGCACAGATATGGATTTCTTCCCGCCAGTTGGCCAGGTAGCTGTCATCCAGTTGTCTTAGACTAGACGAGTGTGCGTGTCCAGTATTGCGTTAGTTTGTTGAAACTGTTTGTATTCCGTCGATTCTTGGAGCCTTGTTTTTCGCCAATACCTATAGTACAGCTTGGACTTCTTCCTTCAGTACTGTCTGTTCTGGATCATATGGTATCTTTTGAAATGTTTGAACATCAACCAGTGCTTTTGGTGCAGTGACTATATTCCTTCCATCTTCTTTTGTCATTCAGTATTTTGTCATTTGTATTATTCATCAATAGTGAATAATACCATTATTCACTGCTGTACACAAGAGACCTATCCCCATCTCCTTTCATCAGCCCCGCCTAGACAGATTGGATACTACTCATTGGAGATTCTACTTTCCTTCATGCCTTCTGCATCTAGGTTCTATCTTGAAAGCTTGTAAGCCAGTCACTTCTTGCCTTTGTAGCTCCCTTATTTTGGGTGGCCAGTGTCCACGTTGCCCATCCGTATTTATTCTGTATATGGAGGGGGTGGGAATGATCCTTGCTGTAAAGATTTGTTCCCTCTTTTGAACTACTGCATCCATAGGTGTAGGTCAGGTTCAACATTGCAAGTCAAGGCTTGAATTTTGTCTTCAGTACTTTGTTTGAGAAATGCTGGATGTGCTAATCTCTTTGTTTTTTATATCCATGTCTTTACACATTTCATTATAATACTTTGTTTTCTTGAAGTGCCCTTTAAATCTTCTGTTCAATTCTTTACTTCATCATTTCTTCCATTTGCTTTAGCTACTCTACATTCAAGAAAAAGTTTTAGTCTCTTATGAGATCCATTTTGATCTTTCTTTCCTGTCTTGTCAGTGACCTTTTATTTTCTTTATGTAGGATGTACTTGTACTCCCACAACGCTTCATGTCTCAGTCGTTAGCTTGTAATGTATCAAATTTGTTCTTAAGATGGTGTCTGAATTCAGGTGAGGTATGTTCAAGGTCATATATTGTTTCAGGGAGTTTTACTTTTCTTCAGCTTTATCCTGAGCTTGCATGTGAGAAACTGATGGTCTCTTCTACAGTCTACCCTGGCCTTATTTTGACTGATGATATTGAGCTTCTCCATTGTCTCATCCCAGATGTAGTGAATTCAATTCCTGTGTATTCCACCTGGTGAGGTCCATGTGTATAATCGCTGTTCGTGTTGTTGAAAAGATATTTATAATGAATTAGTCATTGGTCTTGCAAAATTATATCATATAATTGCCAGCATCATTTTTATCACTGAGGCCATATTTTTCAACTACTGTTCTTCCTCTTTGTTTCCAATTTTTGCTTTCCAGTCACCAGTAATTATGAATGCATCTTGAGTGTTTGCTTGGTTGATTTCAAACTAAAGAAGTTGTGATCTCACAGAGACAGTTCTTTAAAAATATTTAAGGCAGACATTTTTCTAGTTAAGTTGTACTGCTGTTTGGTTTTAAGAAAACTTCAGGAGATACTTTTGGTTTAAGATTTAATGATTAAGGCAGTAGTTTAAGGGGTTCATTCAGCCTCTGTGGTTCCCAGAATACTAGATTTCATCTTGAGCATTTGAAGTAATGTCTTGAATATTCCCCCTTTTCATCAGGATTCATTTTTGGAATCTTTGATTAAAATGGTCAGTAATGGTAGCTGGGCTTCATCCACATCATCTGGTCTCATGACAAAGGAGGCATTTCTTTCTTTTTGTTGTTGTTGTTGATGTTTTATTGTGAATTATGTGATAGTTTACATGGGAGAACATTAGTCTTACATTTATCCTATCGTATATTGTTTCATTGTCATGGCTGCAGTCCCCTCCATGTATCATTAACCAACCAAAGGGTATACAATACACGCCTACCCCCTGGTCGTCAGCTCACAGCCCCTCTCCCTCTCTGGGTCTAAACTCCCTAACTGCTCCATCTCTTCACGTCATCGTCTCTGCCTCAGTCTCTGGTGTCACTGCTTCTCTGGGTAGGGTCCCACTCTCCGCTCTTCTCCCTTTATAGTCCCAGGGACCTCCACTCTTAGACTGAAAAGTCAATCACTCCACTATTGTATCACAAGAGACCCATCCGCATCTCCTTTCATCAGCCCCACCTAGACAGATTGGATGCTACTCAGTGGAGAGTCTACCTTCCTCCACGCTCTCTAGATCTAGGTTCCCTTTTGAAAGCTTGTTAGTCAGTCACTTCTTGCCTTTGTAGCACCCCCATTTTGGGTGGCCAATGTCCACGTAGTCCATCCCTGTCTACTCTGTGTATGGAAGGGGTGGGAATGATCTTTGCTATAAAGATTTGTTCCCTCTTTTGAGCTACTGCATCCATAGGTGTAGGTCAAGTTCATCAAATCGTATCACATTACTCTTTTTTTCTTCTTTCTTCATTTGGTTGAGCTCAGATCATCCAGTCATTGAAGCCAGGGCAAGTGGGTATTATCTGCAAGAGTGGGTTCTTGTGCATATGCCCTCTCTTCTTATCAGCTGACGCTTCACTCTCCACTCTAGTCCCAAAGGAGGCATTTCTTTATAGTGGCAAGCCAGACATTCCATAACTCCTCCTATTCCTGACTCTCCTTCCTTTGGTGCTCCCAGTAAATAGAGGTATACCCTGCATGGCTGTTGCAAGCTTTTAAAACCCGAGGTACTATTAAGGAACTAGGAGGTAGAACAGAACAGAAGCACTGCATATGTTAGGAGGCTCACTAACATTTACCCATGATGTCATGACCCTAAACCTCTGACCACCACTCCTCTGTCAGTTTGTCGTACTGTGGTGGCTTACTTTGCACCAGTCCTCTGTCAGTTTGTCGTACTGTGGTGGCTTACTTTGTGCTGTGATTCTGGATGTATTTTAAATACCAGCAGGCTCACCATCGTGGACAGGTTTCAGCTGAGCTTCCACACAGACTAGGAGGAGAGATAAACTATTTTTGAGTATTTAATCACTTTATAAATAGCATTGGAGTCCTGGTGTGGTGCTGTGTGTTAATGCACTGAACTGCAAAATCGGTTTGAACTGCAAGGTTGGTGGTTCTAGCTCACCAGCTGCTCCTTGGAAACCGTATACAGAGTCACTATGGGTTGGAACCGACTTGGCAGGACTTAACAACAACAACAACAACAAATGAATAGCAGTAGAATGCTGACTGCACTAGAATATTGATTCTTGAAACATGATGAAGAGCATTAGAATATTGTCACACACAGTGACGGAAGATGAGCCCCTCAGGTTCACAGGCACTCAAAATATGACTAGGAATGAGCTGCCTCCTCAAAGTAGAGTTGACCGTGATGATGCGAATGAGGTAAAGCCTTCGGCCCTTCGTTTGCTGATGGTGTAAAACTCAAAATATAAACAGGGGTAAGCATCCATTAATAATCACAACATGGGCAGTACAAAGTTTGAATCTAGGAAAATTGGAAATTGTCAAAAATGAAATGGACTATATAAACATGGATTATCCAAGGCATTGTTGTTGTTGTTTGTCATCAAGTCAGTTCCGATTCATAGTGACCCTATATAGAGTTTCCTAGGAGCAACTGGTGAGTTTGAACCACTAACCTTACAGTTCCAGCCGACCTTTTGACCTAGTGTTTATCCTATGGCGCCACACCGGGACTCCTATAGTAGGCATTAATGAGCTGAAATTGACTGGTATTGGCCATTTACTATGGTTTACTACGGCCATGTCACATGGTTTACTATGCTGGGAGTGACAGATTGAAGATGAATGGCATCATATTCATCATCCAAAAGAATATATCAAGATCTGTCTTGAAGTACAACGCTGTCTGTGATCGGCAAAGAAGACCAGTTAATACTATTATTATTCAAATTTATACACCAAACACTAAAGCCATTTCTTCACTCTGAAATTGATCAAACTTGCAGTCAAGATGTATTGATAATTAATGGAGATTGTAATGCAAAGGTTAGAAATATAAGAGGAAGGATCAGTAGTTGGAAAATATGGGCTTGGTGATGGAAATGATGCTGGAGATAGCATGATAGAATTTTATAAGACCAATGAGTTCTTCAATACAAATACCTTTTTAAAATAACATAAAAGACAATTATACACTGGACCGCACCAGATGGAGTATACACAAATCAAATTGACTACATCTGTGGAAAGAGTTGGTGGAAGAGTTCCATATCATTGACCAAAGCAAGGCCAGGGGCAGACTGTTGAGCAGAACATCAGTTGCTCATATGCAAGTTCAGGCTGAAGCTGAAGAAAATTAAAACAAGTCCACAAGAGCTAAAATATGACCTTGACTATATCCCACCTGAATTATGAGGTCATCTCAAGAACAGATTTGATGCATTAGACACTATAAAGACCGAAGCCAGAAGAGTTGTAGGATGACATCAGGAATATCACAGAGGAAGAAAGTGAAAAGTTATTAGGAAGACAAGAAAGAAGGTAAAGACTAAAATGGATTTCAGAAGAGATTCTGAAACTTTCTCTCGAATGTAGAGATGCTAAAGCAAATGGAAGAAATGAGTTAAAAGAGCTGAGTAGAAAATTTCAAAGAGGAGCTTGAGAAAATGTTAAATATTATAATGAAATGGCAAAACCCTGGAATTACAGAAAATTAAAAGGGAAGAACATGCTCAGCATTTCTCAAGCTGAGGGAACTGAAGAAAAAATTCAAGCCTTGACTTGAAATATTGAAGGATTCTATAGACAAAATATTGAATGAAGCAGAAAGCACCAGAAAGAGATAGTAGATGTTAAGCCATATCAAGAGATAGCATATGATTAGGAGCCAGTGATAATGAAGGAAGAAGTCTGAGGTGTATTGAAACACTGGCATAGAATAAGGCACAGGGATGGGCATTTAGGTTGTTTGCACCTTTGGGCTATTTGCAGTGAACGTTGATGCAGAAGTCTACAAGTCTCTTTATTCAGGTCTTTTGAGTTTATACATATAAGTGAAATTGCTGGGTCATATGATAGCTCTCTTTTTAGCTCTTTGAGGAACTGCCATATTAAAAAGAACCCTGTAGGGTAAGCGTTGTAGGGTAAGCATTGGACTTGTAACCACAGTTTGGTGGTTCAGACCCTCAGTGGCTCTGCAAGAGAAAGATGAAGCTTTTACTTCTGTACTGATTTGCAGTCACAGAAACTCTGTATAGGGTTGCTGTGGTTCTACGGCAGTGGGTTTAGTTTGGGTTTGGTCCTGCAGAGAACATGTGGAAGATAGTATCTAACTTCCCCAGCTTTCACATGGGGAAAAGAGTACCAAAATCAAAATCAGCCCAAGGCTGATTCTGAAAAAGAGGTCAGACATGCTTCCACCCTGCAGCCTTCCTAGTCTGACACTATCCTTCCCTCCCATAGCACTCTCAGCTTCACATATGGATTCAATAATTCATTGCAGTGGCCACACAGAACTTATAACAGTACTCACAATTGTGGGGTTTATTAGGGAAGTGAATAGGGTACAGTTCAGGATCAAAACTAGCTCAGGACACAGTAGTTATCTAGTTAGGATGCCTCTTGTCTGCCAAACTGTAGGCACGCCTCATTCTTGTTTTTGGTCTCAGTTATGTGGTCCTTTGGCTACTGCCCTGCTCGAGCATGTGTTACAGTGTTTTTTTAGCCAGTCTGTGAATGCTCAAAGGGCACATTCTGCAAGCCAGTCTCCTTCCTGTAGGCACTCAGCTTTCCTCAGTCCATAGGCCTATAGCTGGAGGCTCTTCAGTCTCTCTGTTGTCTTTGCCTCTTGCCATCTCATGCTCCACTCATGCCCTTCCTTCTTGATGAGCCTGGGATCTTACATCTCTGCTTCTGAGATGGCTCCTTTTAAGCCTAGCTGGAGGGCAAAATTAAACAATCCAAGCTTTAGAGTCCTGTATACCTTATTTGCATGGTCCCACCCAATCACTTGATGTCAGTTAAGACTTTGGATTGTTGTTGTTGTTAGGTGCCATCGAGTCAGTACCGACCCATAGCGACCTTATGCACAGCAGAATGAAATACTGCCTGATCCTGGGCCACCCTCACTACTGTTACCACACTTGAGTCCATCGATGCTGCCACTTGGCCAGTCCATCTCATTGGGGGTCTTCCTCTTTTTCTCTGACCCTCCACCTTACCAATATGATATCCTTCTCCAGTGACTGGTCCTTCCTGACAATATGTCTGAAGTATGAGAGACGAAGTTTGGCCATCTTAGCCTCTAGGGAACACTCTGGCCGCACTTCTTCCAAAACAGATCTATTGGTTCTTTTGGCAGCCCATGGCACTTTCAATATTCTCCTCCAGCACCATAATTTAAAAGCATCAATTCTTCTTCAGTCTACCTTATTCACTGTCCAGCTTTCGCATGTGTATGAGGTTATTGAAAATACCATGGCTTGGGTCAGGTGCACCTTAGTCCTCAAGCTGACATCTTTGCTCTTCAACACTTTAAAAAGGTGTTATGCAGCATATTTGCCTAATGCAATATGTCATTTGATTTCTTGACTGCTGCTTCCATGAGTGTTGATACTTGAGCCAAGAAGAATGAAGTCCTTGACAACTTCAATCTTTTCTCCAGTGGTAAGAATGTTGTTTAAAGACTTTGGGGTAGAAAAGCCAAATCAAGTAAATTCAAGGCACCCTAGAGCCCACACTATTTTCCACAATGACTGGACCATTTTGTATCTTAGTCATTTTACTTATACTATCAAGTAGATTCCAACTCATAGTGACCCTATAAAGGGTTTCTAGTGCTGTAAATCTACAGAATCAGACAGCTTATCTTTGTCCTGTGGTGTGATTGGTGGTTTTGAACTCTGCTACCTTTATGGTTTTGAAGATTAACCTTGTATCTCATTGTGCTTTTAATTTACATTTCTCTGATGACTAATGATACTGAGCATTTGCTTATGAGTTTTGTGGCTGCCTTAAGTTGTGTTCTTTAGAGAAGCAAAACTAGTGAAGCTTATAATATGTGTACATATGTCAAAGTGCATCTTAAACTCACACAGTTCTAGAGGCTGAAGGCTTCCCCTCACTTTCAAAGCTGCGGGCACTTTCAAAGGCTAGATGGCTGGTTTCTGACTGCAGAGCCAAATAAATCTAAGGTTGACTATTATTTTATTGTTAATGACTCCCAGGTTCCACTGGATCCAGGCCCAACAGAAGTGAACAAGTTTTGCCAGAGTGTCCACATATATTGGAAGCAGACCACACCCCCAGCAAAACTCCCTTTTAATTGATTGGCTGCTCATAGTGTATCTCATCATAGAAATGATTGTATTATATTAGATTTTATCATGGGAATGACTGTATCTTTATATGGGTCATTTGCTTGTTGCCGTCAAAGTTTTATATATAGTATGGATATTATATTCTTAGTAAATTATATTGTTTCCAAAGACATTTTGGTCAGTAGGTTGTCTTTTCAATTTTTGGTGAAGTCTTTTGATAAATGTTGTGTTGCCATCAAGTGGGTTCTGAGCAATAGGGACCCTGTAAATTGTTTCCAAGGAGCGGCTGGTAAGCTAGGACCACTGACCTTGTGGCTCAAACCAGCTGTGCAGTCCAATGTGTATATCCTACAGTGCTCACCAGGATTCCACTTTTGATGAATAACAGTTTTCACTTTTTATAAGGTCCCATTTATTTATTTTGTATTTTGCTGTATGTGCTTTTGTTACTATACTAGACAATCCTTGTTAAAGCTAGGCCTGACAGCATTGCTGTTGCGTTTTCTTTTAGTTTAGGTCCTTAATCCATTTTGAATTTGTGTATGTTGTGAGGTGTGGATCCTGTTGCATTTTTCTGCATTTGGGAATACAGTTTTCCCATCACCATTTATTGAAGAGACTCTTTCCCCATCAAATGGATTAAGTACCTTGCAAAAAATCAGTTGACCAAAGACATGGATTTGTTTTTGTACTCAATTGGTCTATAGGCACATAGGGTTTCAACATTGCTGACCAGTGACTAGGAACAATGATCTTGTCCTTTAAGGGAACAGATGGCCGAGACTTTTTATAGCCATTTTTAACAAAGGGACTATATCTTCTGACCCATGTAAATGATGAGAATATGGATTTTGAGGGTGAAGGTAGAAGATTGGCAGCAGGTTGATACTGAAGACTAATTGTTAGACTCTACCTTGCTTAGCATGTATATGAAAAGTAGAGGTTTTTTATCCACATACATATGATCCCAGGGCACGTTTTCTACCTGGTGGTTTAATGTGTTTAATTGTTGAAGCTATGCAGTTGTCTTTTCCTAGCTAGTGTGTTTTGTTAAAATTTCCAGCAACAATTTGTTGACTTCTAATTTGGGTTTTTTACCTATAGGTATATGAAGATGCTTACAGAGTGGACTGGGAAGCATACAAAGAAGAGATCAACAGAATTCAAGAACAATTAACTCCAAGTCAGATTATATCTATGGAGAAGGAAATCATGCAAAAACGCTTAAAAAGGAAAGCATTAATAAAAAAGAGAGTGAGTATCACTAAAATGTTCTTTTCCTTTGGCTATGAACTGGATAATAAAAAGGTTGCCCTTATTTCGATAATATATATGTACTTTTATGGTAGGATGTCATAAGTGTATTCCAGTAAAGCAACAGCTGGATAGCACTCTTACCTCTGCCCTGAGAACCACTTGCCATTGAGTCTGTCTTGGACAGTACTGTTGCTACTTTGGGTTGTAACTAAATATAAGATACCCGTTTTGTAGCAGCTTAACTGGTGGAAACTGCTAACTAAAAGGTTGATGTTTTGAACCCACTGGCAGCTCTGTAGGAGAAAGACCTGGCCATCTGCTCCTATAAAAACTATAATCAAGATAACCCTGTGGAACAGTTTATTCTGTAAAACTTGAGGTCCCAGTGAGATAAAAATGACTTGAATCCTGGTGTGGCGCTTGTGGGCTAGAGCACTGGACCATAAGGTCAGTTTGACTCACAAGGTCAGTGGTTCAAACTCACCAGCTGCTTCATGAAAACCCTGTACAGGGCCAGTATGGATTGGAACCGACTCAACGGCACTAAACAACAACAACAACTATAGCATGTTAATTCAAATAAACTTATCGTTTGAAAGTTAGACTACCTTTTTATATAGAAACAGTATTAATTATGAGGTGGTCAGCTTGCTGGTCCACCCATATATTATACAAATTGGACATCAAAGTTAATACCAGCATTGAATAGGAGCCAGTTTGAAGTCAGTGGTGGTGATGTAGAACTGCAGATCCACTAGCAAAAAGAAGCCAGAAGATTCTGTACTCAGACCTCTTCCTCTGTAACGCTCCCAGCTAACACTAAGAGTAGAGTGGACTAGAAATAAGGAGTAAGGCAAATATAAGGAGTTTCTCTTCGTGCATTCGTATTTTTAGTTGGAATTGTTCTTCCCACTAAAGATCCCAGTGTCGCTGTTTCAGAAGTTGCTGAGAAGTATGGTAGCTAGGAATTTGTAAGTCTGAAACACTGAGGGGAAGGCTTTCTAGAAACAAAGGGAAAACAGTTAAAATGTTAAGTGCTTGCACTCTACAGTTTTATTGTTAAGTGATGAGAGACGTTCAGGAAGAAGGAAATAATTTCTAAGTGAAAATCAGAGAAGCCCTGTTTTTATATGGGAGGAGCAACTTTTATTGACATGTGAATAAAACTTGGATTTGTCATTGACCCTAAATAAATTGTTATTAAAAGTCACAGAATTTTGTCAACCAAGTACTGTTTATTATCCAAATTCAGAAACAAATTGAGTAATCCGATACCCTTCATCCTGTGAACTCATGAACTCAGTTGTTGTTGTTATGTGCCATGGAATTGGTTCCAACTCATAGCGACCCTGTATAGGATTTCCAAGGCTGTAAATCTTTACGGGAGCAGAAAGCCTCATCCTTCCGTGGAACGGATAGTAGTTTTGAACTGCTGACCTTTAGGTTCGCAGCCTGATTTGTAACCACTACGCTACCAGAGTAATGGTTGTGGTATAATGGAGTTGTGGCTGTGTCACTGTAGTGTAAGCACTGGACTTCTAAGTATAAAGTCAAAGGTTCACACCCGCTAGCCACTTCTCAGAACCAACTTGACAGCACTTATTATCAACAACATTGTGGTCTAAAGGTTGAGAGACAAGCTGTGAAGGGGATGGGATGAGAGATTACGAAACCTTCCTGAGTGTACATTAGTTGATAGGAGAGAGAGCCTATTAGTTGATGTAGGGATTTGGCTAAGTGGATGGTAGTATCCTTCAAGAATGAAACTGGGATAGTTTTGCCTTTTAAAAAAGGTTTTGTGGGTAAGACAGTTTGTGCTCTACTACTAACATAAGGGTGTGCTGGAGCTCCATACAATAAGCACTGAACTGCAAACCACATGGTCCATGGTTCAAGCTCACCAGCTGCTTCCTAGAAGAAAGATGAGGCTTTCTGCTCCCTCAAAGATAGAAAGCCTTGGAACCCCTATGCAGGGTTGCTATGAGTCATTACAAAAACAGATTAGCAAGTCTTCTTCCCATGGAGCTACTGACTTAGAACTGCCTGTCAACGTAGCTCTTAACTGTGTGCAACTGAGGCTCCTTCTGTAAAGATCACAGCCAAGAAAATCATACGGCGCAGTTCTACTCTGCATACCGTGATTCCGCTTGATAGCACTGGTTTGTTTCTGGTTTTGTTATTTTAAATCTAGTTTATGGCGACCATGAAAAGAAATACATAATTATTTTTATATAAATCTGTAAAATAAAATTTATCTAATTTTCAAAACATAGTGTTAAGAAAAAACTCTGAATTTAAGATATAATTATGTAATTTACTTAAGATCATGGTATTCACTTGAAGGAATTTTCTGTAATGTATAGTAGCGTATAAAGTTTTTGTAATTAAAATTACCACCACTTATCTCTCAGTTTGTCGCGCTGCAGTGGCTTGTGTGTTGCTGTGATTCTTGAAGCTATGCCACTGGTATTTTAAATACCATCAGGGTCACCCATGGTGGACAGATTTCTGCTGAGCTCCCAAGCGAAGACAGATTAAGAAGGAGGAAAGACGGACTATTTCAGAATATTTAGTCACTGAAAGCCTTATGAATAGCAGTGGAATATTGTCAGCACCGGAATATTGAAACATGACAAAGAGCACCAGAATATTGACAGTTACAGCAGCGATGGGCTGAAGCAATGATTGGGAGGTTGGCGCAGGACCAGGCAATGTTTTGTTCTGTTCTGCATAAGGGTCACTATGGTTCAGTACTGAGTTGATGGCACCTAACAAAAAATAACAATTAAAATCAAGTCTCATGGATGTTACAACCAAATTTGATTTTCTGTTTTTGTTATGTAGGAATTAACCATGCTTGGAAAACCCAAAAGACCTCGCTCAGCTTATAACATTTATATATCTGAAAGATTCCAGGAAACTAAAGATGGTTCATCACAGGTATTTGTTTTTAAATTTTTAAATTGTTAGAAAGTTCTAGAGCCACCCTGTCATGTCAGGTGGTAAAGAAAAGGAATGAAATACAGAAGTTCAATTCTTTTTGTGGGGCCTTAGAGAAAAATACAGGGCAGATCATCAGTTTTATATTCAACAAATCATATACTGTTTCATTATAATGATTATAATCCCCTCCATGTACCATCAGATAGCAGTATTTCTCTGTATTCATTTTAGTTTGTTTTTGTTTTTAAGCACTCAGGCCTATATAATAATTTACACTACCAAAGGGCACATTCTGCAAGTCTGATTCCTGGCCACCAGCTCTCAGTCCCTCTCTTTCCATGAGTCTAGAGTCCTCAGCTGCTCCCTCTCTCCATGTCCTCATCTCTGCCTCTATCTCTGGTGTCGCTGCTTCTCTAGATAAGGTCCTGCATTCCATTTATGTTCTCTTGATCCTAGGGTCCTCTGTTTCTGAACTGTAAAATTTACTACTGTCCCATTTATGTTACAAATCTTATACCTTTACAATTGTGACAGTCACAATTAGTCATGACAATAATTACTCACTATTGAATCATAAGAATCTTATCACCATCTCTTTTCACCAGACCCATCTAGACAAGATGAAAACTATTCAGTGAGGACTCTTACCTTCTCCCACATACTCTCAAACTAAACTCCCTCTTGAAACCTTATAAGTCAGTTACTTCGTACCTTTATCACTCCCTCATTTTAGTAGCCAATGTCTTAAGTTGCCCGTCCCTAACTACCCTGTATACAGAGGGGACAACATTGATACTTGAAGGCTCTTTCCCTCTCTGTTGGTATTTTGAGCTACTATCTCCATGAGTATAGGTCAAGTTCATAAAATTATAGCAATGTACCCTCATTTCCTTTATCAAAAATCGTTTTATCTTCTTCTAGGCAAGTTTTATCTTCTAGTCAAGTTATCAAGCCATTGAGGCTAGGTCAAATGGGCACTATCTGCAAGTTTGGGTATCTTGTGCATCTCCCCTCAGCTGGATGCTTCACTCTTAGCTCTAGCCCTCTGTGGCTATGTTCTTGTCCATGGGATCAGGTGTCCCCAGGTCTCACCACAGTTTGGACCAACCAGCCGTTCCTCTTCTCTCTCTCATCTCCAGGTCAATGGGAGTCTATGGAACATGGTTGAACTCAGCCCATTTCTTCATTGCTACCTTTCCCCCTCTTCCACTCACCAGTAGACAAATGTGGTCGCCAGCAAGCTTACATGCCTGCTCATGTGTTCTCTTTGAGCTTCAGTCTTGGGGGGGGGGGGGGTTTGTCTTGAAGGGACTTGATTGTTTGCCTTAATGGCTTCCTGGCGAACAACTTGATTATTCTTGTAGTAGCCAATCATACTGCCAGAGAAAAATACTTCTTTATTTCTCACTTCTTGCAGTTAATTTGGGAACATTATTGTGAATGTATACATTATCAACATTTTAAATGTTCTTTTCTATATCTTAGCCTGTTTTGCTTTTCTTACTGGGTTACTATATACAGTTTCTCTTAATTTCCCTATTTTTGCATGGTACTGTTGCCCTCATTTGTACCTGGACTCCTTAGTGTGACTTAAAGGGCGCTTCAAAGGATTTCTGGGAAAATGGAATGAAAAGATCATGTAATTTTTCCATGCACTTTTTGAAACCCTCTTTTGAGAGGGTAAGTGTTCTAGAATTTGCCTTGGATGGGGATTTAACGTCTTTTTAGAAAACAAAGGTAATACTTTGGGACCTGCTTTTCAACAGTGAATTTTTAAATAAAACACCAAAAGCATGAGCATCAAAAGAAAAAAATGAATAAGTTAGATTTCATCAGAACAAACTGGGGCATCAAAGGACTTTTATCAAGAAAATAAAGACAACCTATAGATTGGGAAAATTTTTAGAAAAATACTAGGGGACTTTAAAATTTTTGTGAAAAAATGGAATTAAAAGGTGATGGAAATTTTCTATGAACTCTTTCAACCTCTACTATATATGAAGTACTCCTGTGAGTATGGCGCTGTAGGATAAGCACTGGACCACAAAGTCAGTTTGAACCAACTTGACTGCACTTAACATCAACTTAACAGCAGAAAGATAATCCAGTCCCCCCCCAAAAAACCCCAGTGGGCAAGACATGTCATCAAAAAGGGTATAGGAATGGCCAGAAACTGTACGAAAAGATGCTTGATGCCATTTTGTTGCTGTTAAGTAGTGTTGGGTTGATTCCAACTCAGCGACCCTGCATAGGGTTTCCAAGGAGCGGCTGGTGGGTTTGAACTGCCAATCTTGCAGTTATCAGAGCTCCAAGTTAATGAAAATCCAAACCACATTGAAATATCACTGAATTCCCATTAAGATTGCTATGATTTTTTTTTTTTTTTTTTAAGAGAAAGACTGGAAAATAACACACGTCCTAGGATTTGGAGAAATTATAACCCTTATTAATTGCTGATGGGATATAAATGGGGAAGTTCTGTGGAAAACAGTTCGGTAGTTCATCAAAATGTTAAACCTAAAACTACTGGGGGTTGTGTGCTGTGGAGTCAGTCCTGACTCTTAGCAACCCTGTATATAGGGTTTCTGAGGCTGTACATTTTTACAGGAGCAGAATGCCTCATCTTTCTTTCCAGAAGCACCTAGGTGGACTTGAACTGCTTACCTTCCAGTTAGCAGCCCAGGGTGTAACACTTTACACTAATAACGATCCTTAGAACTATCATATGACCTGGCAGTCCCAAACCTAGGCATATATCCAAATGAATTAAGGCAGGAACCCAGACAGAAATTTGTGCTCCAGTGTTAAGTGCACACTATTGACAATAGTCAAAAGATGAAAACAGTCTGTCCATCAGCAGATGAATGAATAAACAAAGTGTTTGTACATTATACATTTAGTGGAATATTATTTATTCAAAGAGAAATGAAATCCTGATACATGCTACAATATGATGAACTTTGAAAACATGCTACATGAAATAAGTCACAAATGGACACATATTATATGAACCCACTTGTATGAAATATAGGTACTTTAATGTTGTTATTAAGTGCTATTGAGATGGTTCTAACTCTTAGCCACCCTGATAGGGTTTCAGAGGAATGGTTGGTGAATTTGAAGTGCCGACCTAGCTGTTCATTCCAACTTTGTGGTCCCACAAAGTTGTATAAAGACCAAAAATAATGAGTAGTTAACGAAAGGTTGGAGGGAGGCAGATCTAGGGATTCACTGCTTAGGGGGCAGTGAGTCTCTGTTGGTGGTAGAATAATGTGTAATGGGTTCATAGCAGGATAAATGTTATCAGTATCCTGACTCGCACAGAAAACAAATTGGTTTTCCAAATAGGATGCTTCAAAAAGTTCATGGAAACTTTTATAGTGATAAAAAGAGGATAAATACCTTCATTCAGTTTATTTTTGTGAATTTTAAAGTTTGATAGTTTTTGTTTAGGGACAGAAAATATTCAGAGTTGATGAGACTTTTAATTCTTTATATCTTAGTTTTTGTTGTTGGAGTAGAAAAAGAAAAACAACTTTAAGTCCCTATTAACTGCTATTACAAATGTGTTTTCTTATAGGCAAAACTGAAGGCTGTAAATGAAAAGTGGAAAAGTATGTCTAGTTCTGAAAAGCAAGTAAGTCGTATAGTTTTAGTCTCTAGTATCCGAGAATCATTTAAGACTTTTTTCTTGTGAAAACAACGGTTCATTATTAATAACACAGTGAAAATACTTTTTAAAAGTGTTTGCATAGTTTTAGAATCAGTTGGACTTTGCTGTTAAGGTAGTTTTTGACTGAGAGTAAAACTAACATTTGAACTAAAATTACTCATAAAATAATGCATAAGTTTATACTGTCCACTGTATGTGCAGTGGCAACCACACTCCTCTTCTGCCCCTGTTGCACCCCTCAAGCCCTAAAGTTGCAATAAATTTCATTAGAAAGTCTCTCTTTTTTCTCATTCTTTCTCCTATCCATCTTTTTTACATACAGCAATCCTGTAATTTCTAGAATACAGAGGCATTCCAGAAATTAATTGCAAAGATTCTTATCTAAAAAAATAATTTTAACACTTGTACTTTTTCTTAGGTATATATTCAGCTTGCTAAAGATGATAAAATTCGTTATGATAATGAAATGAAATTGTGGGAAGCACAGATGATTGAAGTTGGAAGAAATGATCTTATACGTCGCAGAGTGAAGCACCAAACAAAAGATGGCGCTGAGGAATGTTAAAACAGAAGACTGAGTTTTCATCATGGACAGGCGCAAGAAACCAGTTAGATCTCAGTACTTGAAGCGGTTGTAAAATTAGAAAGGATAAAGTTGGCAAACATTTTATATTCAATTCCTTTTTCTTTAAGCTCATGGACTTTTGCCAATTTAATACATCTTGTATTAAAACCTTGCTTTGGAAACCCCAAACAGCTATAAGTTAATGGTAAATTTATTTTGTGTTTAAGAACTACTGAGGATCAAAATAACCTATTCAAATGCAGCAGTGAATCATTTACCTTTATCAAGGTAAATCAGACTGTGAATTTTTTATACTTGATGATGATTATGAAAAGATTCTTCTTGCTTGCTTATATTATGGAAGCAGGAGTTTGCTTTTGAGAATTGTCCCAAGTTGTAGAAGCCACAGTGTTCTATGATGTAATTGTGTTTTTTTAAAAAAACAAAATATGAACAGCTAGAACTTAAATGTATGTAAATTTTAATTCTTGGGTATAATACTGGTTTTCTCCTTGTACTTAAGAGTTGGTGACTATACATGCAAGAAGTGATCTCTGATGTCACTTGAAACTTGTATAAAAGGGACTCAGAGAAATTTATTAACTTCCCTCATCTTTTTTTTTTTCTTAAAGTAAAAACTAAAAAAATTATGTATCAAATCTATGCAAATTATTTTATATACATAAATAAAAATTATGCATAGAATAAAAATTTTAATCTTTGTTTAATTTTTCATGTTTTAAAATTATATGTTTTAAAGTAAAGCATTAGTTTTACACTTAAAAAAAAAAAAAAAGGCACTCCTGTCAAGCCAGTTCCAGCTGGCAGTGACCCTGCAAGACAAGGTTGAGCTGCTCTGTAGGGTCCCCAAGGTTGTAAAGCTTTAGGGAAGCAACTGCCTTATTTGAACCACCAAAATGTATTGGGTAGCAGCTCAATGCTTAACCCAGGACTCTTTTTTTGCCTTATGTTGGGCAAATTATTTTTTTCCTCTTATGTGTTTATATTTATCCAAAAATTAGAAATTATGTCTAGCACAAGTTTTAAAATGAGAGATCTAGAAAGCAAGTCTCCAAAGTCTCTCCACCTCGAACCTATCATTGTAAGCATCTTGCATAAGATAGGCCACACTACATGGCCTGTCACACTACGTGGCCTGTCACACTACATGGCCTGTTAACCAAATGTTATCTCTAGGCCAAAACTAGCCACTGCCTGATTATCATGGCTTGTGAGCTAACATAATTGTCTTTACTTTTAAGTGGTTAAAAATGGAAGAAGATTATGACACATGAAAATATTCAAATTTTTGTGTCCATAAATAATGTTTTACTGAACCATAGTGATGCTCATTTTTATACTTAGAGTTTATGACTGCTTTTGTGTTACAACAGCAGAGTTAAGTAGTTGCCAGAGACCTGGTAACCCCGAAGTCTAAAATCTTACTACCTGACCTTTTACAAAAGACATTTGCCCACCCATGTGGCTAATGTACCAATGTGTTCCATTGCTGAGCTATTTTTTCCATCTCACAGAAAGTTTTTTCATTTTCTCTTTTGGAATTCTTGTCACTCTTGTTCAAAAAGAAGAAAAAGATCAAGTCACCAAGCCTAGTAAACTGGCTCCGTGTGTTAGCAAGGAAAATAACCTTTGAGTTTCAAGTTATGTTGATCCATGTAGTGTGTAGAGTGGAATGAGATTCTCTGATTATTTCCTATGGCTCAGTACAATGTATCCTAAGAGTTTTCTTGCGAGCATATACCATAAAAACCTGACTGTCTTTAGCATTTGTTTATCTTAGCAGAGTCAAGCAAAGATTTTCACACTACCTTTTTGTCATCAGTTCATAGGGATAGGTTTACTTATAATTTATGCACTTGATACATTATGCAAAATACTTAGAAATTGTAGATCCTAGACAATTAGAAACATTTTGAAAATATGGTTAGAAAAGAAAAAAGTTACAAAAAGATGACTTGTTATATAATGAATTTGACAGAAGTAGTGAAAAAAAGTGTAAAAGAAAAATAAAGCTTGTTTATATGGGTGTGCATTCGGGACAAGTCTGCTATTACTAATAGATACCATGGGTCTGAGGCCAGAGTAGTTGGGCCTGGGTAGAAGATGTATTAGTGTCTATCAGTCTTTCTCAGTTGGTGTTTCAGGAAAGAATCCCTAATTTTCTGAAACATCATTGTTTGTAGTTAATTAACGTCTCCTGCATCTAGAAAGGTGCTGATTGTGTACCATCCTCTGGAGAATGGGAAATCGACACTCTAATAATTTTCTGTGTTGAGTGCTGCAGGTGAACCCAGGGAACCTAGAGGAATCATTGTGTTCGTGTCGAATGAGTGAGGTAGGGAAATGAATTGCATAAGTACCTGCAGGTCAAATGGATAGAGCCTGCTCTGAAGCACTGAAAACTGAACTGCTTCTCCTGTTTTATACTTAACACATTCAAATCAGTTCTTCCCAAATGTACTGGCAAGTTAAGCATCCAGTAAGTTCTGAAGTATTTACAACTTAAAAAGGGAAAAAAGAACATGTAAACCAGAATTGCCAGACTAAACCTACTTTGTGATCATAGTTTTTATTTGGTTTTCTTTGTTTTTAAAAGAACGAAACTTTTATTAATTTGAATAATAGAATAGTCTGACTTTAAATCTTTCTTAATAAGTAGTAAATGTGGAAGACTGGCATGCCATATGCCAAATGCCATTCACTTGTAATAATATGCATAAATTATTGTCCATAAAGAATAGCTATACCAGTAATGAGTGGCCATTCATACACAGCCATGCTTAGAATTTTCCCAAATTGACCCAACAAAATAGTTGCTGTAGGTACTAAGTAAGTAGGAAAGATGTTAAAGAAATGAAACACATTTTATGAAGTTAAGTTTGGAGCTGAACACTTTTTAAAATAAGTTTGTTCATTGGAGTGAGTAGTTTGAAATAATTTCATGTGTGTAGAGAGTTATGTGTTTACTTTCCGGTGTTTACTTAAATGATAATGCAATCGTGTAACTGCCATTTTTCACAAGTTCTCTTTATTTTGTTTAGTTGCTCTGTATATTTAGATTTCTCAGTTTTAAATGGATTTTACCATACATCATGTGGATTTAAAGTAACTAGAATATTCTGTAGATTTTTTACATTTACTGTACTTAAAATTCATCTCTACCAGGTTGTGCTAAAGCAGCAGAGAATTTTGTTTAGTTAAGTGATAGTATTCATTAGTTTCTCTTAATTATACCAATATTTACTATAAGAACATTCTCTCCCTTTTTCTTTTCCCTTCCCAGATACTCTCCCCCTTCCTCGTCATAGCTCAAAGCTACCATAGGCAAATTGAGAAATGTTATTAGCACAGGCTATATGTGTGTTTTGAATAATATATCTTTTTCAGTTGAATCTCTGAAAAGAATTAAGAAATTGAACATGCTTATTTGAATTTGTAAAACTATACAAAGTAAGTATCAATCACATTGTTTCAAATAAAGTACTTGTAGTAATTAAATCACTGGATTATATTGGAAAGTAAGTGACATACAAAGCCATTCTTTTATTTCACCTAAAAATATATTATTGGCTACAGGACTAAATACATAAAATTGACCCTAAATGAGAATTTTAAGTAAGGTAAATGAGACAGTTTTAGCAGTCACCCTTAATAATTATCTGATTTGCATATGCAATATGCAAGAAAAAATTTGATTTATCCTTTTATATGTGTTGTTGTTAAGTGCCGTGGAGTCAGTTCTGACCCATAACGACCCTGTACAGGGTTACTGAGGCTGTAAATCTTTACAGGAGCAGAAAGCCTCGTCTTTCTCCCACGGAGTGGCTGGTAGTTTCAAACTACTGGCCTTAAGGTTCGCAGTCCAATTCGTAACCACTACGCTACCAGAGCTCCTTTATATCTATACTGAAATTTAAAAACTTACCTCATTTTATCTTTTTCTCCCCCGTTTATGTATAAGAAGTGACAGATGGAAAGCAGTTTTGACCCTGACATTTTACTATACATGCTGCTATTAGCCTTCACATTAAAGAGGGATAGTTTTGGTTCTATTACTAAGGTTCTACTTATTTTCTTTAATTGGAAATTTGGGATGTTGAAAGTTGGATAGGATTACATGGAGAGCTTCAGATTAACTGTAGGTGAATTGTTGGAGCATTATAGCCTTCAACTCAATTCTGAGTATTTTTTCCCCACTCACCTGCCAGAATTGGTGCGCTCCACCTCTCCCCTCACAGAATATTGGAGGGAGTGCTGGTGTGGCGCTGCAGGTTAATATGCTGGACTGCAGGTCAGTTTGAACTGCAAGATCGGCGGTTCAGACTCACTAGCTGCTCCTCAGAAGCCCTATACAGGGTCTCTATGATTTGGAATCGATGAAACAGTCTTTAGTAGCACCATCACCACTCTGGTTGCAGCTAAAAAGACTTTTTCTTGCAGATTGCAGTCTAGGACTGATTTCTCCATGGGAGGGCAAGTCATTAACCTTTCTCATCTCTCCTCTGCTAGTTCCATGTTGAGCAGGTCATAAAAACATCTCAGTAGTTCTCTCTGAGAAGATTGACTTTAAATATCAAAATAA